CCGCTTTATCTATTCAAAAGTACCGTCTGGATCGCTTCAACATGCTAATCAACTGCAACCCTACATTTTTTCCCTAGATTAACCCGCGCACACCTCTCGTCCTCTCCGAGCTTAACGACGACGACACCGCAGAATTGCCGGCTGGTCCGCTGGTCGTCAACGAACACACCAACTGGCCCGGCCACCCACAGCCTTGATAGAAAGGGTTGGGAAAACAGAATCACAGAAATCAGAAATGTTTACCATGAACCATATCCCCGAATGGCCGTCGACAAGCGGTCAATCAGCAGCGACGAGTTCCACTCCAAGTACGATTACCTAAAGCCAAACGAAACTGCAGAGCAGGACTATGTGGTTATATATGGTATGTCCCATGGGTTTGGGGGGCTGATTTTTCTACAAAAAGAGAAGAAGCAAAAATATGGAGGCATTGGCTGTGCTCACAACTTGATGATTAGGTAGAATACAGTCGGCACGGATTGCGGGGAGCAAGTTGATATTTCTTGACCTCGTGCAGAATGGCCGGAAGGTGCAAGTGCTGTGCAATCAGAGACATCTGGACAGTTTGGGAGTGACGCCGGAGAAGTTCAAGCAATTCTACCATCTACTACGGCGCGGGGATGTTTTCTGTAGGTCATCTTTATACCCTGTATTATGTATTGCCGTACCATCGAGAAAAGAGAGATTTTATATTTTGCATTAACACTTTAAAACCTTGCGTTTTCCGGGAAAACAGCGGTCATCGGACACCCCCATCGAACAAGCCGTAGAGAGCTCTCCGTGGCCGCATCTCAACTCCCCAAGCTCATCACGCCCTGTCTTCACGATGTCCCGCTCCGTATGAAATATCAAGAATCCTCGCCATATGACCGGCACGTTCAGTTACTATACTCCCCCACTGCAGCTGATATCCTTCGAGCTCGGTCATCTGTCATTCAATACATACGCAGTTTTTTCCTGGACAGGTCTTTCATGGAAGTGGAGACACCGATATTAGCATCTGTGGCCGGCGGTGCGGTTGCCAGACCGTTCCAAACATCCGCAACTGAGTTCCCCGACCGACCACTTTCGTTGAGGATTGCCCCTGAGCTATGGCTCAAGCGCCTGGTTGTTGGCGGATTCGATAAGGTCTTTTGAGATTGGCCCATCATTTCGCAATGAAGGTGAGTCCTCGTCCAGCTTATCCTAGCATGCTCCTCTGTGACTCAAAAGAAGGGGGGAAGAGGTGGGACACAAGAAAAGAAATCGAAAGTTCCAGCTGAAACAACTTCACAGGGCTGGATAAAACCCACAACCCGGAATTCACAACCTGTGAATTCTACCACGCATTCGCCGACCTGGAAACCTTAATAACCCTGACCGAGTCTTTCTTCACGGGCCTTGACCGACACATCCACCATCTAAACGAAACATTAGAAACCCTCTCCCCGACCACAACTAGTTTCGCAACCCCCTTCCGCCGCCTCGACTTCATCCCAGATCTCGAAACGGCAATGTGCCACAAGCTACCGGACTTTACCACCACCCCTACAGAAGAAGCAACCAAAACAGTCATCCAGCTCTTCGAGCAACTCAGCCATCCGCTACCGACAAACCCCAACCTCCCCCGCCTCCTCGACCGGCTAAGCGCCATCTACCTCGAGCCGCAGTGCAAAGACCCAACCTTCATCGTCAACCACCCGGAATGCCTCTCACCACTCTCGAAGTCATTCACGCACCCCGCATGCGGGCAGACCGTGGCAGCACGGGCGGAGCTCTTCATTGACCAGCGGGAGGTGGTCAATATGTATGAAGAAGAGAACTCACCGTTTGAGCAGAGGCGGAAGTTTGAGATCCAGCTTGGGTTTCAGGTCCCGGCGGTGGAGGCGGAGGGGAAAATGGATGAGAATTACCTGCAAGCGTTGCAGTGGGGGTTGCCACCGACGGGCGGGTGGGGGTGTGGGGTTGATAGATTGTGCATGTTGTTTACGGGGGCGAGGCGGATTGGGGATGTGTTGAGTTTTGGGAATTTGAGGAGCGTGACCCGGTCTGAGTAGGTTGGATTGAGTAGTCGGGTAGGTAGTAGAGGGAGTAAGGATATTCTTTCTCTTGCTTGGTTCTTGTGAACCGTCTGCGATGTGCATATATGATTGGTTGCTTATCTTTGATAGATGGATAGAGCATATGTATGATAGAATTCAAATTCGCATGAAAAGTCACGATCAATTCAACTATTAGACGGATTTTGCAACGCTGCGCGCACCAAAAAATTACCCCTTTTAGTTAGGTGCTCGCACCAACCTCGTATTTTTAACTTCGCCGGCGCTGCCCACTTCTTGCTAGCTTCTTGTAAAGCCCTGTAATATTGGTGCGCGTTCCAATCTGCCATATTGGGTTAAGTGTTTGAAAAATCAGGGGTGTGAATGATGTGGATGATTATGATGGATCACATTGTAGGAAAAATCTGCATCTTCAACTTTTAAAAAGAAGAATTGAACATGTTAGCAAAATGAATACCCCACATAATACCTCATTATCTTTGAATAATATCCTCAATAATTCTTTAAATGATCATCATCTACAAATTCATCAATTTAATATTGAGAGAATTCAGCATTTGAAACTGTATTATTCATCTGAATTTTCATTCTTTCAGTATGATTATGAGGTCTTTTCTGACATTCAAAATGAGTCACAAAATATTGTTTTTAAAGAAAATGAGGAATTGCTTTGATTTTCTACTTCTGCACAATCTTTGTCATCTCTGTCAAATAATAATCATATCATTAAAATCAAGATTCATATCATTGAGATCAAGATTTATATCATTGAAATCAAAATCAAAATTATATAAATCATTTTATAAAATAAAAATAATTTGAAATTATATATTATGCAATTGATCTATCTGATTTATATCAAGATTTCAAACAATGTGAGCAGTTGAAAATAAGATTTTAAAATTTCTGTTATGATGAATTAAATTTATCTGTGTGAAACTCTGATTGAGTTCTTTATCATATAAAGAAGAATCAATGAGTTTTAAATAAATATAATGGAAAAACATCAGAAACTACGTGGTCAGAAACAGATTTTATTTAAACATTTGATAAATGAATAGAAATAATTGATGAATTCAAATAGGAGTAAGATCAACATTTGATAGAGAAGAAGTATACTGAAAGTCAAAATCAATAAATTGCTCATAAACATCAGAATAATTTAATACAATATTATTCAATTCAATCAATTTAATTAAAAAATTTTATTGATGAGAGTAATGATTTCAATGCCTTCTCTGCTTCTACATTTATCAATAAAAAAAGAGTACTTTAAGAATGTGAAATCAGAGCTTCAACAATTTCAATACCATTGTTAATTTTCAATTTATTTCAGAAACTGCAGAAATTCAATAATATTATGAAAAATAAATTTTCTGAAATTTCAAATACTTTAAAATTTTTGAGTTCTGATAACAATAATATAGAGAATGAACAGCAGTTGAAAATAGAGAATGATATGAAAGAGATGAAGAAAGAATTGATGCAGATATTTGAATTCTTATAATGAGATTATAAAGACGCGGGTTGAATGATGTGAGTTGAATGATGTGGATTGAATGGTGTGGGTTAAAAGTGGTGGATTTGATATATTATTACAAAAATTGATTGCTTCATTGTATGCTACTTCTATAAAAAAACTTCATTATGTTCAGATTTTTCAAAGAAATTTGATATATATTATCATTTTTACTGAAATATTTTGTAATATATCTGTTATAAAACATCATCACTTTTTATATGAGGAGGTTAGTTTTTCTGAGTGATTTGATTGATCATAAACAAATCATGTGATAATATATACCATGAATACATAAATATATTACCAGGGGTGTAATTTAAAAAGTGTGATTTTATCAAAAAATATAGGATAAATTGTCTAATATTAAGAATCTTTATAATTACTGCAGTTAATTTAATCAAATTTATTATTATTATTATTATTATTATTATTATTACCATTACTACTGCTGTCATTGCTGTTTTCAAAATCATTTTTCTGCATTTATTGTCAATCTTCTTCATCTATTCTCATACACTCTGTCATATATTCATGTGTGGG